AAACTGAAAAAGATCGGATGATGAGCGGTAGTATTGACTAATTAATAATGTTGAATTTGGATTAGACACATTTAATTAATTGACCGATTAAATTGTGCGGTCTTCTACCTAATATTCCATAAACGTGCTGAACACAGCTCAAAGACACTCAGAAAACCCAAACATATATTTAATTAATGTGACACCCCGGCTGCATTGTTTCAAGCCAACCAACAAGTGGGGCTCTCAGAGCTAGCGTTCACATTTTATCAGTTGATGCCGCTAAGGTTGTGAATTCTGCTTATGGCCTAGCTAGCTATGTAAGATACCTCTAACTTAACATATCTCACAATAATTATCAGTTCAATTATTAAAATTTTTAATTTTTAATTTTTAATTTTTTTTTGTTTTTGATTTAAATTTAAAAATAATAATTTTTAAATAATATATTATTAAATTATTAAATCAGATAATATACTAGTTATTATCTATAGGATAATATTGCTCAGAACTTCAAAAGCAAATGCACTTGGGTTTTTAAGTCAAATGGCCTTAAATCACGTTTAGGTGCATTATTCTCTTTTAGGTAACAGTTTGAATTCGATCACTTACAAAATTATTTTTAAAAAAAAAATCTCAAAAGCAAATTTACGGAAATTAAATCTGAGAAAACCTAATAAGATGCATAATGGCACGTGCTGGACCACAGTTTTAGGAGATTTCAAACCCCACGTTCAATGGTTTTCCAGGTACCATCAGTTGGTCCAAAATCATTTCTGTGTGCATTAAGTTGGGAGCTTAAACCTATGTCTAAAGGCTTTCTATGTTATTTTCACATATATATATATATATATATAATCTCAATGATTGACTTTACAAATAAATAATTAAGTATTTTTTTTTTTAAGATACGTTGAGAGTTTAAGTCTTAGCATTGGCACTTAATCAGATTAATTTCTTAAAATATATTAAATTAATAAAAAATTATTTTAAAATTATGTAAAAAATATTAATTTTAAAATACATAAAAACTACAAATAACCTAATCATCCAACAAAATAAAAAAAAATTCTCACATATAAATATCCATGACCAAATTGGATCATACTCAATTCTTCCTTTTTAAAATTTTTTTATATAACTCATTTCATCACTCACATATTATATAATTGGTTAAATTCTCATTTTGATCCCTGAACTATTATACGGATCCCTGATTTGGTCCTTGAACTAAAGAAATCCTTGATTTAGTCCTTAAACTATTGTATGGACCCCCGATTTGGTCCCCACTGTTTATAATTTGACCTAAGTTGGTCCTTGAACTATTGTACGGACCCTCAATTTGGTCCTTACTATTTACAATTTCGCCCCAATTTGCTCCCTGAGTTATTATTTAATAGAAGGATCAAGTTGGGGTTAAATTGGTAAACAATATGGACCAAATTGGGTATCCATACAATAGTTTAGGTGAGTTATTATTTAATAGAAGGATCAAGTTGGGGTTAAATTGGTAAACAATATGGACCAAATTGGGTATCCATACAATAGTTTAGGGACTAACTCAGGGTCCGTACAATAGTTCAAGGACCAAATTAGGAATTTCTTTAGTTTAGGGACCAAATTAAGGGTCCGTACAATAATTCAGGGACCAAAATAGACGTTTAACCTATATAATTTACATTTAAAATATTTTATCATAACTAAATTCTCCTTATAGATTACATTAATTAATTGGTTCTATATATCTTGATATTAACTCTCTTTGAGTAGGAACCTATTGCTTATTTAATAAATAAATTAATTAGCTTGACTTCCATTAAACCTCTCAAAGTTTCTTTGGCTGCAAACGAAAAGTCTTAGATAAAGGCTGCGTTTTCAAGCACATTTTCTAATAAATTTCAAAATTTATGAACACACAGCGCAGCAGCCATATGACTGATTTCTAAAGTCAAACCGAAAATTAACGTATGGAGGAGGCGCATTATGCGGCTTAACTTATGAAATCAAATTACTACTGAATATTTATCCCTAACAGTAACGAAACCTCATTAACAACGAAAAAAAAAAATGACAACATGGTGCGCAGTTAATTGATTTTTTTTTTTCATTTGACTGAAACATTGTAAATTAATGATTAAAAATGATTTTGTGATAATATTTTTATATAATTTTTTAATACAATTTAACTGTTATTTAAATAATTAATTCTTTTAATTTATATGAGATTCAAAATATTAAATGTATCAATTCATTTAATGAATGTAAAAATTTTATTAAAAATAATATAAAAAAATTATCTATATAACATCACACATTAATAATATATTTATTTATTTAATATTATATTTCATTCTCAATTTTTGTTCTACATACACGTGTCATTTAATCGCTACTGTATTAAAAATTCCTTAAAATTTTTGGGGAATGCGAAACTTATGCGGCAGAAAGACTGTTTTAGAAACTTTGCTGAACAACCATCATGTAAAAAATATCTAAAAGATAAAAAGGTTGATTTCTTAGCACCATCTTCTATCTAGTGAGAAGTGACATGTCATGATCACGGAAAAGGAACCCAAAACCATTCGGATTAAGTGAAGGAAAAGGGATATATACCTCCATCCCTATCAAACAAGGCCATTAATTTCACAAAAAATACCAATCATTGGCCACCTTAAATACTGTTTGGCAGCCCAGAAAACATAAAGGAAAAGAAATTGCTTTTCCAGGGGGTTTAGTCAAGTCAACTAAACACCTTTGTTTCTGCAGAAAATTTTCTCACGGGTCTAGTAAACTTTTCTCACGGCTTCCCCAAATTCTTCTTGTAGAGGAGTCCTAAGCCAAACACGGTCTATGGAATGTCCCTAGAAACCCAAATAATATTCCTACCAAACCCAAAAAAATTCCCACTCATCAAGAATTGAATTGACTTCAACACAGAAAATCATCCTCCTTATGCCAATTAAGAATTTTGCTTGCATGCCAAAAAGAATATTAAATGGCCAGAATCATCAAAGCTTTTAGCTTTTGTCCATGACAACGGTGCTCCATGCCGAATTGTTTTACCAACACTTTCAAAGTTCTGTTCGAATTGTTTTACCAACGCTTTCAAAGTCCTAAACAGGAATCAATATATTTAAAATTTAAATTTTAAAATTTATATGTAAAAAAATTAATTTTTTTTAAATATATTAGACTAATATTAAGAGTGCCTTTTAAAATCACTCTTAAAAAAATTAATATTAAAATACATAAAAATTAAATCAAAAACATTTTTTTTATCATAAATTAAAAAAAAAAAAATCAATATCTGCACATTGCGAACGAGAAACCCAAGAAACCCAAACTTCTTGTTTCTAAAACATATGTTTGGAATTGGCCCAAGAAATAAAATAACTGACTTAATATTGAACGATTAAAAAATGAACATACATCGAGTAATTAAAAAAATATTAATGAAAAGAAAGAAACTAATAAGATATTAAAGATGTCGGAAAAAATATCAAAGATTGAGCACTTTATAAAGTGTTGATAATAAACATTATTTTCTTAGGATATGACATAAAGTTGATATAAAGCAATAATAAAAAAAATTAAGATTAAACATATCAATCAAAATAAAAAAAATTTCACATAAAGTTTTTTTATTTTTAACAATTTGACATGAGATCGAATCAAATCCGTCCAAGAGAAAAAGGTACATCTATTCAATATGATTAATACTACTAAATTCAAAAAATCAAGTGCAAAAAATTCACATAAAGTTAGGAATATGGTTTTCCAAAAAATTAAAAGAAAACCACTTGTCTTAAGATTTTCATAATTTTAAATTACGTAATTAAATAAAATTATTAGTGTACATTTATAAGATGATAGATATATATATCAATTTCATTCTTTTAAAACGGCTAAAACTTTGACCAACTACATCATGCAGATAATCAAACCTTTTATGTGGTGGAGGAAGGATAAGATTAATGGTCCATACCGCCAAATCTCTACAATGTGCTGAAACTTGTAAGCTCATCCATGGAAGTTATTGAGTGAAAGAAACCCTAATCCAACAAAGACAAATGAAAAAGTAAAGAAAAACGAAAAAGAAAAAAAAAATGAAAAAAAGGCATGTGCACGTGTCGCAAAATTTTATTACCTCGTAAACCCCGCAGTCCCTTTGGCAAAATCTCGCCAACTCTTTCAAAGGCCTCCACGTGTTAGCACGTGTTCAACACTGTTTTGTGTGGCCTGTTATTGTGACCATAATGTAACGAGACAAATAATTGTAAAAATCACACAAAATATTATAAGAATGTTTCCTACTCCTTTTATTTTAAAATAATAAT